CCCAGAGCATGGGCTCATTTGCCAAGTTGTCAGGACCTTAATTGTTGTACCTTCAATGTAAACAAGTTGAGTTGCATGAACATGAAAATAGAGGCAATGCATTCATTCATCAGAGTCTGGAAGCCAAATAGAGCAATATATTAGCCACAAGCTACATCAACGACAACCTGGATAGGGCTAAAAGACAGTAATAATCAAGGAATGGTCAAGTAGACTAGGAAAGTCATGTAGGCGAACCAAACAGATGATCATGGGAAGAAATCACTTTCGTGGGAGAAAGTCAAATTTCAGCGTTACCGCGCTGAAAAAAGTCCTGAGATCCTGGGTAATAAACGAGTCTCTTCGTAAACTCAGAGGACTCGTAAGTCCACTGCGAGAGATGGATTAACTGGTGCACATGGAAAAAACCCTAGCTCAAGGAGTTGAAGTGCTGGGGAAGTGCAATTGCAGAGGGAAAGAATCTCAATACCTGCCAAAATTATTAGTGACTTCTCAAAATATACTAGAACACATAGGCTCAAAGAAAATGCATGCAACATTCAACTGTCTGCCTGACCCACAACCAGCACAGCGCTTTCGAGAACGAACTTGCACCATATCTCGCAAAGAGTCCACTTCATGTAGAAGTTTGACATATGGCTCCATTAGACTGGGAAGAACCTCAGTTTCCCATCGCTGAAATTGTTTCTGCTTTTTGCCAGGTAGCTGGACAGTACCACCTTCATTTTCAAAGGTAATAGTTGTTGCCAGTGGCTGAAAAGGGTCTGCTGCTTTCTTGGAAACCCCTGGCTTAAAGGGCTGAACAAAATGTCCAGCTGGTGTGTACAGATTTCCTTTAGCAGCTTTATGAGCCTTCAAGGATTTGGGTGCAGTGTTTACAGGAAAAAGGTTAGCATTTTCTGGTGGCAAAGACTTAGCTGGTTTTTTCTTGTACATTGACATGATGACTTGGCTGAGTGAAGGACACACAAAGAAGGGGGGAAGGAAGCAGAATGTTGATCATGGACAAGGCACTCTTATCTGACCCCCAGACTTTCCTAAAACGGACCCAAGTTCACATGTAGATTAAAAAAAGAAAGGTACCAAAATAAACGCGCAAGCTATAAACACCGACAAGACAAAAGAAACCGAGATGACAAAGTTGGCAATTATGAAGTAGCAATGCGATGTGGGGTGGAGGGGGCACGACCGAAGTAGTCAAAGAATGTTTGGCAATACAGTCCAACAGCCTTTTCCTCCATACGCTCAAAGTCCACACGCGTCATTGCCAACTTCCCAGACCCATCGAACATCGGCATTGATGCAAGTGCATGCACATCAGGACCAGGCCAACCTGTGATGAGCACCCGTAAAGCTTCCACCGACCTTGCCCGATCCCTCCAGTTCTCCGCAACAAGTCCCACATTGGTGTCTGGCAATCTCCCAACAATATAGCCATCGTCGTCCTCAGGGAAAATCCTCCGAACCAACTCATCTCGCACTGCCGCCGATTCCCACGAGGCCCAATCCGCCGGTAAAACTTGCTGGTCAACCATACGAAGCTCCAAACGAAAGTTTTGCTCAAAAAGATTCCACAGAATCTCTGCCGAGATCGCCGGCGTCAGATGGTCGGTATTCCCCTCCATCACAGAGACATCACGCCAGAAGATCGAATGGGGGCGTTCTCCCACCTTAACTCTGGGTCCAAAAAATGTTGTTTGAGCATTCTTCAGCAACTCCCCTCGCTTGATGGTGTACCTCTGTTTTGATTTATCCGATTTTCTACCGCTGTTTGCTGGAGTTTTCCCCTTATGACTGGGTTGCGATGTTGGAAGTTCCTTGGCCTGCAAAGCATCCACAAGATTCATCTCCTTTGAGAACTGATATAGGAAATCGCGCCAGTGTTGACTATGCGGGGCGGGCGATGGAGAGTAGTCGAGAGGGGTGAAAGATTGGAGCCACTGGCTGTGTGAAATCAGCCAAGCGAGCGTGAAGGCCTTGTGGTTTGTTCCCTTCATAAAAAGCCAAGGGTCGGGAAACTGGTAACCATGGGCGCGATCTTTGGAGGACTTGATGCGGGAAGGGTTGGGATTCACGTTCTGCAGCGCCTTCTTCCACACCGGGGATTGAGGGGGTATGAAGACCTCCTCAATCTCGCGAAACTTCTCGTGATTGACACATGTTGTGACTTAGAGACATTTTCATCAATAGAAGAAAAGCAAACAAGTTAACAATACATACCCCCTGACATGCTCCCTGAAGCCTTGGTTGACGACGAAGCTGTATTTGAGTCTAATGCAATAAATTGTGAGCAAGAACTAAGGTAAATTCAGCCACAAGCAACCACTTACAAGGTGATGCTCGAACCACATCGCGGTCTGTTCGACTGGGCCCTGCACCTGGCTCTACGGATAACAAGCCACTTTGCGGCTCCGTCACAACCGGCTTCGGATCCTCTGGCCCAAGAAACCCTTCGAAATGCGCCTGACATGCCTGTATATAAAGAGTGCTTTGAGGGGATGCAGTTGTGATGTTGGGAAAGGGGTGTTCTGGATAGTCGTTGATACAGAGTTCATGGGGGTCCACCTCAGAAGGACAGCGATCGCGGAGGGTGGCAATGCTTTTTGGTGTTGGTGGGCGTACATTCAAAATGTTGATTTGTGGAGGTATTTCGGCTGGGGTACGAACCAGCCAAACAGGCACCCCAATGCGAAACAGAGTCTCTGCCGTCTCGAGACTGTCAGTGATGGCCCCCATCATAGTCTCGTCAACGGGGTAGACCTGGCAGTTAGGTTCAAGGAGGCGAGCCTCCCAGGTTTTGAACCAGTCAACCATCGCAAGGGTTTCCATGTACAGGCATTGGAAGCTGGCGACGTGCCAGACCAAATCCCAGTAGTAGAAGGATGTAAGTGAGAGGCGGCCCGAAGCATCGCGCATCCAGTTGGCCACGAAGAATAAACCCCCACAGATTTTGGGGTCTTTGGTGCGGGCGATTTCGGCTACTTTGGAATGGAGGTTTTTGGTCTCTGACCTCATGACGCTCGCGACCTTCTCATCCAGAGTTCCCAGGTCTTGAAAGGCCGAGCCTTCCACAGGCTTGAAATGCCTGGGTTGGACCACTTCAGTCACCCACTGCCAACTGACTATTAGTCATGCAAACTACGCGTAAGTTACATGACTAAATGTCATGGACCATATCTACATTCTAGATATATATGGGTCCTAGAAAGCCCTGAAATCTAAAATATATTCTTGAGACGTGGACCCTGAAATGTCACACAAAAATTATAATGTCTGTGTCACACCACCAAAATATATTTTGCAAGTAAAAAGCAGTAAGGATATATTTTTGGTGAGTGGACCCTGAAATGTCACTGTCACACCTTAGAAATATATTTTTGCCCTGGCTTGGCCTTAGGATATATTTTGGGAGACAGATGTGGTAAGGATATATTTTTTGGGTCTGTAGGGGTGTCAGGGGTCCTAGTTTCACCAAAAAAACTTGTGATTTTTTTGCTGTCTGGGATATATATTCTGGAAGATTCTGCAATGATTTCCAGGGGTTTTGGCAGTATGTCTGGTCTGTCCTCCCAGTATGTAGGTAGCAATAAGGGGCATCAATAGCATCTGCAACCTACCTGAGTAGTTGCTTGCATATTATCCACTTTGACACTATAGATACAGTTTGTACTATGAAATTCTTTAGCTGCCTTGAAACACCCTCTGAGTTGACAAAGTGCTTTGATCTTTCTCTTCTTCTCTGTTCAGTTGCACAGTTCACCAACATCTGTATTACCATCAAGTTGGCAAAGTGCTTTGATCTTTCTCTTCTTCTCTGTTCAGTTGCACAGTTCACCAACATCTGTATTACCATCAAGTTGGCAAAGTGCTTTGATCTTTCTCTTCTTCTCTGTTCAGTTGCACAGTTCACCAACATCTGTATTACCATCAAGTTGACAAACTGCTTTGATCTTTCTCTTCTTCTCTTTTCAGTTGCACAGTTCACCAACATCTGTATTACCAGCAAGTTGACAAAGTTCTTTGATCTTTCTCTTCTTCTCTCTCCAGTTGCACCTTATCTGAACACCCCACCCACATCTGTATTACCACCCTTCACAGACAAGAGTTCACCACATTCTTTGTTGTTTCTCTCCTCTCTTCTTTTCTTCTCCTCCTCTTCTTCTCTCCCTACCTTCCTCCCTCTTTCTCTTGAGTTTTGATTGTAAATTTATGGACAAACAGTTCACCAAGCTCTTTGTTGTTTCTCTCCTTCTCTTCCTTTCTTCCTCTCCTCTTCTTCTCTCCTGGCTTCCTCCCTCTTTCTCTTGAGTTTTGATTGTAAATTTATGGACAAAGAGCTCTGACAAAGTTCTTTGATCTTTCTCTTCTTCTCTCTTCAGTTGCACCTTATCTCCTGGCTTCCTCCCTCTTTCTCTTGAGTTTTGATTGTAAATTTATGGACAAAGAGCTCTGACAAAGTTCTTTGATCTTTCTCTTCTTCTCTCTTCAGTTGCACCTTATCTGCATACCTCACACACATCTGTATTACCATCCTTCACAGACAACAGTTCACCAAGTTCTTTGTTGTTTCTCTCCTTCTCTTCCTTTCTTCCTCCCCTCCTCTTCTTCTCTCCCTGTCTTCATCTCTCTTCTCTTGAGTTTTGATTGGAAATTTAGGGACAATGAATTCTATTCACCCTGTCATAGTATGGAGTCACACATATCTTTGCACTAAATCCTGAACCAAGATCTATATTTCACCCATATCATGAATCCAGATACATAATTTCTGAACCATATCATGAATATTTTAATTAGATGCTGAATCAAGATATATCTTTCCACTTTATCTTGAACAAGGATATATTCACAAGACATATATTTCAATTACATCCTGTCCCAGGATATATATTTCACCTATATCTTCAACCAGGATATATTTCCAACAAGATATTGAACCAGGATATATCACCAATATATATTCTCAAGCTATATCTTGAACAAGGATATATTTTTCAACTTTATCCTCAACAAAGATATATATTCAACAAGATATTGAACCAGAATATATTGCCAAGATATATTCTTAAGCTATATCTTGAACCAGGATATATCTTACAACTTTATCTTGAACCAGGATAATTACCAAGATACATTCTTGAGTTATATCTTGAACAAGGATATATTTTTCAACTTTATCTTGAACAGGGATATATCTTTCAAATTTATCTTGAACCAGTATATATCACCAAGATATATTTTTAAGCTATATCTTGGACAAGGATATATCTTTCTACTTTATCTTGAATCAAGATATATTATTGAACTATATCTTGAAGGAGGATATATTACCAAGATATATTTTTGAACTATAAAATGAATCCAGATATATTTCAAACCAGGATCTATTTCTTTCCAATATATCCTAAGTCAAGATATATCTTCAAAATATATTTTGAACCAAAATCTGTATTTGTGATGTAAGCATAATCAAAATATATCCTAAGTCAAGATATATCTTCAAATCTGTATTTGTGATGTAAGCGTAATCAAAAGGGAGTGATTGAGTGGGTTGATAGAAAATCAAGCAAGTGCCTTGATCGAAACTGAGTGAAGGATATTAATATGTAAGTAAAGAGTGAAGTCGAAACTGAGTGAAGGATATTAATGCGTAAGTAAAGAGTGGAAGGATAGCCATGGGTAAAGACAGTGAAGGAACAGCCAACAAAAGACATGTGTATTACTGCAATCCCCAAAGTTAGATCAATTAAAGCATGGCATAAAGGACTTACAAAGAACTATAGGAAAGGGATGCAGTCTAAACAAACAAGTCAGATTGGTGAAACAGACCATGAAAAGAACTTACAAAAAGGGTGGAGTGAGGTGTGTAGGTGGACAAAGGCAAAAGGAGTGGT